AAACATTTTGTATTTGTGTGTTAGAGACGATCCACTCAAATCCTTGTTAAAATTTTGTGTCAAATTTTTAACATATCCGAGTTTTAATTTAACATAATACGATTGTGTTATTTAATTATTTTGTGTAATTAAAATTTAACATTTTTCAGTGTTAAAATAACATAATTTATAGGTAAGTAAACAAATAACATAAAAATAGTGTAGTTTTAAAACATAAATTCTAAAAATAAATGAATAAAATGTATGTGCTGATTTAATATATTATAAATGTTAATTTTATTGAAAAAATACGTTCTGTACTAGTTACATATTTTATATGTAAAAAGGTACAGTTGTTTTGTATTATTTTCTCTTTGTAATAGTAAATATCTGTTAAATATATATATTGCATTTGTTAAATATCACAGAGACGTCGTCTAAAAATGTAAAAATAACATCTAATTTCAGTTCAATTTAGCATTATAAATGTGTCAATTTAATATAAAATTTGTCAAAGTATTTTAAATTGTGTTAATGTATTACACTTCTTGTGTTAATTTTTTACATAATATTGTATTTGTGTTACTTTCTAACATATTCATTTTATGTTAAATTAACACAAAAATTTGAGTGTACAATTTAGGACATGTGAAATGTGTTAAATTTAACAAAAATTTTTTTACTGTGTACTAATAAAATTCCAATAAATATTTATGCAAAAGTTCATTTGGATCTCTACTTTTAAAGTTATTTATTTAAAACTGTAACACAATATGGTTATAATTGTGCTACATAGCTAGTATTAGCCAAATTATTTTTGTTTTTTGTAATTGATTTTAGAACGTATTCACGACCAAAATTTTTTGGCTGATATTGGCTTTTTATCTAATTCTTTAGCTGATACTTTTAACTGAGTTTTTATTGTCTGATATGTAATTATATTGAATTGTTCACATACGTATGCTTGCCAATAAGCATACTTGGTTGCCCAATCGTGTCGTCGTGTATAATAAATGACAGTCTCGTGCAGAGACGATGACCTTCGTTATCCGGCGTAATTAATAAAACGACTAAACGGAGCAGCACTCCAACGCCATTAATCACAGCGACGAGAGCTATTAGTAATGCCTTTTCGAGCCGGAAGTTGAGCGAATGCGCACTCTGCACTCGTGACGTTCTCTTTCATGAAAAGGGGAAGGATGTGCAAGGATCGTGCGATTTCCCTCGGCTTGCCACATTAAATTTCCTGTCGCTCCGTCGCAAGCTAACGCGGGTATAATGTCCTAAAGTTATTTCCGTAAATGTGCCGTGAAATATCTAAAAATTATTTTCAGAACGCGTGACGAATCATTTTTCTAAAATTTTCATTCGGTCGAATTATACACATTTACTAGTATTAATAAAATTTTCTTTTTTCATGAATTATAAATTTGTGATGATAGATTGCATAATCAAATTATATTGATTGTATCGATATTTTTGAAAGTTACTCTTGAAGCTATGAATCTCAACGAAAACTTATAGGAAAGCGAGACACTTTATCTTCCGTACGAGACGAACAAATCATTTCCCAAGTCGTACTTTTGCCTAAAACGATGGAGGAGGCATTCTTTTACTAGCGACTCGTGAATCACGAAGAGATGAGGGTCCTTATTCCAAAGTATTCCGAGAGTTGAAACAAATTCCGCGAACTTGGTGGATTCGATTATTAGCGAAGGAAGAGGAAGGCGACGAGTTTTCGCGCCTCGAAAACTCGTCGCCTTCTCCTTCTTTTGCTTCCGCTTCCGCCATACGTTCGATACTGGCTTTACCTATCGTCGCCAGAATTGTCAGTGCAGGCGGCCGTGTAATTGCGAGTCTTCCAAGGAAAGCGGAAACTTTCCCTCCCAAGTCAGAGGAGAAGAAGTGCCGACAACATGCATTAACCGGATCCAAACTTTCGATAGAAATTTCCATTACGTAAGAATCCGGAAGACAATACCGCGTCGAAGGAAACGTATCACCTTTCAGGATTATTTGGAAAATGCAAAATTTCGAATTACAATTATGCAAGTTGTTATCAAACATGAAACCCTGGGTTGCTATCATAATCAATTGTAACAAATAAAAAAAATATAAATTAAAATTTAAAAAAAGGGATTTTTAAATATAAAATAATCAAAAAACATGATAAGACTTCCTTCAAATAAGCATCTTCTAATACAATAATTCAAGTTAAAACGATAACTATAATTATCATATTTATAACGTTGACCAAGAAGTCAAATAAATTAAAAAAAGAAAATCAATTTAAAAGAGTCCCAAAATGTGAGAGGTGATTAATAATAAAATGTCATTCTTTTAATTAAAAAAATAAATTGTTACATTAATTAATTATATTTCCGTCCATGGAGAGTTTCTTTTTACTATTCTTGTAGAGAATTCATTTAATTTTTCTTTTTTTAATTTACTTGACTTCTTGGTCAACGCTAAATTTAATACTCGGTTGTCTTTTTAATTCGAATTATTAGTCTGCTCCCTTTGAAAAACTTTTGGGAATGTTTCATTTGGAGAAAGACTCGATCGCCATGGTTAGTAAAAACATTTAAAATGTATGATAAAATCACGAATAGTAGCAAAGTTTATTAAATATTTAGTAAAGAAAGAGATTAATTTGCATCTTCAACATAAATTTTCGAATGCTTGAAATACTTATTTCTATATTTCAACATTGTAAGCAAGTAAGATAATCTAAACTTACTTACTAAATACTAAGAAATTCTAGCAACTTCTTCAATTTCAAACGACAAAGACTATGAAGGATTTACAGATCTATTAGAGTTCACACTATAATCTCGCGAAAGTTTCACGCAGTTCGTAATGGCGCAGAGATTTCAACAAGCAATTTCGAGCCATGTGTCAGTGGCGCGCGCGTCAGAAAAATGAGAAATATTTGATAAATCTCTTCGCGTCATTCTCTTCAGTTTCCAACCATGGAGGCAATGTCGAACACCGTGGCAGGTAAGCGCAATATATTTCTTTGCTGTTGTGCCTCTTCATCTTCAACCCTTTTTATTGCCGTCACCTAAGCTCTTTCCCATCCTTATGTCTCTCGCCAAACTTTCTCCTTCGGCCTTTTCCTTAGCTTGAGAGAAGGCTTTTTATGTCCCCACGTATGTCGGCCAGAGTGAATGGTGTTTCAATAATCGTATTTCATTGAATTTTCTCGGGCGAAATAGAAAATTTCGCTTTTCCCCTTGCTTGCAAGCTGTTTCATGCGTCTCAACATCTCACAGCCGGAAATTGAACGGCAAATGTGACCACCCCGCGTCTTTACCCTAAGAAAATTTCTTTACAAGAATATATATATAGTTATAAACTCTACGTATATATTGATCAAATGTGCGCTCGCGCGTGTATATGTGTAAAAAATTGTTCTCTAAAAAAGATAATGAGATCCATAGAGATAATGAAAAGATAAAATTTTAAAAAAGAGCTCCGAAATGAATGCTTCCTCTGTAAAAAAAGATTTTCCAATTACATCATCCCGACTTTAGTAATTACACATCACGTGAGCTCTAATCTCCGATCTATTTGGAATGTTCCGCGTGTCTTCTCGACGAGACGTTGGTCCAGGTGAAACTCAATAACTTGCACAATCCCGGAGAAGTTCAGTTTCAAACCATCCGCGCGAGCCGCTATATTGGGATCGCACGGAGGTCAATGACATCTATTCCCGGCCGCCATAATTCACATGGCCTTCCCCAACTCTGCGAAAAGTTCCCTCAAACTTAGATTAGCGATTCAATTTGAACCGCCAGTGAATCATCTTAAAAATCGTTTTTTAATCGGGACACTCTGTAACGAACAAAACGTCCTGCTTTGCCAGGAGCGGCTTTTCCTGCCTCAGGCTTTTCCCGCATTTCCCGCCCTTCCGTTTACCCCCAACCACTCGTAGATTTCCGCGCCATTCGTTCAACACTGCTGGCTCGACGACCAGTAAGGATTACTTCATCTGCCAATGCCCATCTAAAATTCCGTTTTTTCCAGAGAGTTGACGGATTGGACTCATTATGTATATCCATGCGCAAAAATAATTTATTCGCTAAAGAATTCATTTTTAACAACGCTACTTGCTAAAAATTGCGATCATTGTTAAATTATTTGATATTAAAAGAGAATAAAAGATGAATTATTTTATTTTTTAAGCATTTCTTTGAATACTATTAAATTTTACAATCTCAAAAAGAAAAGATTTTGTTATTCAAGTATTCTAAATGAAGTCTGAATTAAAATTTTTTTATTATCTTTTCATTATTTAAAAATCTGAAGAAACTTAGGTCTTTATACGCTACTAAAGTGAATGCAATTCTGCAAAATAGCATTACAAAGTTCTTCCCTTGAGGTAGTGTCGAGAGCATCGTCTCTGGTTGCGACTTCGTAGAGCAGAGAGCGTACGCCCGACATATAAAGAAGTTTTGATACTTGATATATCGGTTTAACTACACTTCCTTTCAGTACAGTTCGATAACGTCTTAGTGTATGAAAAAAGGGACGTTCAATACACATTTTAAGCTCAATATATATACATAATCTATTTATGGAACGTTACTTTTTAATTTAAAGGAGAAGTTTATTTTTAGCCATCAAAAAATTAATTTTAATAACCAAATAACATTGTAAATATTCCTTATTAAATAATATAGAAATTTAATACCAGAAAGTAGTGATTAATTACTTATTTTGAGTATTAAAAGCACTTTTGTTCAATGCTTTCAATACTCAAAATAAGTAATTTCCAGTGTTAAATTGAATTTCTGTAAGGGATGAAAAAAAGAGTTTAATGATTCACATTATAAGAGTTGTAGATTCTTTTTCTTCTAGGAAATCATTATGAGTACTAAATCATCATCAGTTTTCTGTGGCATTCGTGTTACCCAAAATTTGTTATTGGAATTCAGATATTTCAAAATTTTATTTCTGGCAAGAGATATCGACATAATCGCGCATACAAAGTTGCTCGTGCGATTAAATCGCTAAAGGGTTTACGTTCACTCACCCATTGCAGGTGCGTAGATGTTCAGATAGAGGCAGTCCTCGCTCTGGTTACGCAGATGAGGCAACAGTCTCTTCAGATACTCTAGTCTACCCTTAGGCATTCGCTCAAGCGCTTCCTGTTCGTTTGCGATGTCCGGCAGCTTTTGGGGGCAGACTGGACCCACCGAGTCCGATAATCTGCAGAGGAAATCGGAAATCGTTCGTGCGTTACAACGAACCGAACGGTCAAAGTTTCGTATAGAATACGCGTCGCCATGTTCAATAAAGACGAACATCGTCGACGAGAATGTATTTCGGAACGCATATACATTAAACAACAAAAGGTATCTTAACCATAAAGCGTATAATATTATACCTATAAATTGATATCTTCAATACCTTCTTCTGCATTAATTTCTGTATTAATTAAATAATTAATTATAATATTTTTCTCATTAAATCAAATAAAAATAATTCTCTCGATTCAACATTGCTACTATTTTTTATTAAAAAATTAAAAATTTTTTGGTAGTTATGTAATTGTAAGTAGATTTGATAGCGATGTAACATTGGCATTCGAAAGATTTGCCAAGGAATATCTCGGCATAATTTTAGAACGTTGTATATCCTGCGATATTCTTAGACACTTCGAGTTAAGAAAATTGCGCGGCATCTGAAGTATTTCGAGAAGATCGTGCTTGTTATAAAATTTGAAGGTATTTGCTTTTAACAGGAAAACAAAATGGATCGACTTTACATACAAAAATAAAAAAATAAAAATTGATTATCCTTGACATGACTTTTCTGCATAGTTCATAATAAAAGGAACCTCAAAGTTTCGATAAACAATATTCATAACTATTTATTTATATTTTATATGTATATCTGTAAAATATTTAATTTTGTAACTTGATCCATAATCAGGACTGAATCTATAATTAGATTGTCACCCTATACCACGATGAATTAAATTTGTAATTTGAAATGATATCGGATCTTATCTTCAAAGAAGTACATTTTACCTGACTCCTTCCCAAGGACTCGGTGCTCGCGTTGGGGAAAAGCGGTTAGTACCGACTGGCGATGTGGCGTAGGGTATTCCGAGGTATACGTCAATCGGCTTGAGGAATTTGGCATACTCGAAGGACCTCGTGATGCCCTGCACCTCGCCGTAGCGCGTCTGGACGATCCGTGGGTTGAGCTTGCTCTTAATGGAGAGCGAGAGGACGGGTGGCGCGATCAGGCAAACGAGGATCAGGAAGATTTCCATCTTGCCACCCTCCCCCACCTCGCCCGCGCTACCGCAACTGATCGCGCCCGACACGATCTATGGATCACCTCCGCGTCCCGCAACGATCGTCTCTCATTTACGCCTGCACGATTAATTACAACGCCGTCGAGTCTTCCTCATCCCAGTAGATTTCTCTGAAAATATTACGCATACATCGCAGCATAATCAAAGATCATTGATTATAAATCACGCGTATCAAATACTCTAATTTTATAATGTCTTTATTTTTAGAATTAATATTTTATGTTATTATTAAACGTTAATAATTATTAAAAATTAATATTTAATAATTATTTATTTGCAGAATTTTATTCTTACATGCTTATCAACAAAACTGTCATAAGCCTCACAATAACTTCAATTTATATTAATAATATCTTCTCAAAAAGGGTTTCGGATAACGAGATAAAAAATATTCTTAACGTATTTAATCTTATCACAACCTTACGTAGTATAAAAATAGAATATTACTATAAAATTAGATCAATAATTTTTATTCTTCTTCCTCCATTAAATAAGATTCACTTATTATCTTGAGACAAGAGTAATACATATAAATTTAAGTTTATATATCTTATGTTAGAATAAACCTTTATCCGATATTGTAACCCACAATTATAACTATGGCTGGTACCATGGTATTTGGCGCGAAACCAATGAGTTTGATCATTTTATTTTAGATTTGAAAATATTTACTTTAAGAGTAACAATATTCCTCCAATATTTAGCAATGAATATTACTGTCTCTATATCAATTCTATTTTATAATAGGTCGAAGAATAATAGAGCATTGCATTGAAGAAATCCTTTTTATCGGTAAAAACAAATTTTATAAACGGAAATAATTAATTAATTTTTTTAAATGTCGTTAACTTTTGATATTAATATATTTATCATATTAATATATTAATATGATAAAAATTTATTATGTTAAACTTGATACTCATAATATACCAAAAAATTTAATACTGACACAAAGTTAAAGTTAATACAATAGTAAATTATGACGATACAAATAAGAAGACGACAAAACGATTCTCTCATAATACCATTCCGTAATAATAATAATAATAGTCATTAATACCAATTTGAAATTGTTACAAGTAGTGTTAAAACAATTGAAGTTGCACTTATTGTGTGTGTGGGATCGCGATTATTTTGCACGCGATTGCTGGCTCGATCGCATCAATTAATTTCGTGTTTTTGTTAGTTTTAATTTCCAGAACGTGGCGGTTCACGTTGCTGGTTTGGTGGCGTATTTATTTAACGTGCCCGTTCAATTAACTATATCAATATTTAATTAATACGCACCGCGGTTACATCGATTCTATTGGAAAATGACAATGATATTAAAAAAAAAAGGAAAATAGAATGAATAACCGCGTATACATCTCAATATGAGGGGTAATCGATATTCTGAGGATGGTTTCTCCAAAGATACACGATAGTAACTCCACCTTTTTCGTTCTTCGATTATTAGCGAATTCTAATCTTGCGACAGAAAGTTTCATCTGCCTCTCTTTGATGAAAGATAAAGTAAAATGGCCGAAGGGAATAGCGACAAAAGCTGAATGCGATGGATAAGCGCGAGAAGGGGAAAGTTTCAGATTCGATAAGCGCGAAGAAACACTTTCTGTAGACATCGTACGTTTGCCATATTTTAACAGAATTAAATATCTTGAAGTAAATTTAATTAATCTCTATTTAACATCTTTCTACAGTTTTAAATAAATACTCACTTTAATGTATTTTATATTTACTATTAATTAATAATATTCAGTATTTAATTTCTATCTAATAAGAAGTGATAATATGAAAAATATAATAAGATCAACAATTAAAAATATATAAATGATAATTTAATCTATTTTATGTTATGAGTACTAAAGTAAGATAATCGAAAAGTGAGTAGTTTGGAAGATAATTTCATCCCTCTATTTTAAGAATATAAGTAAAGAAGAGAGAGAGAGAGAGAGAGAGAGAGAGAGAGAGAGAAAGAATAATTTTAGACATCGAATTTAAGAAATATGTAAAGATTTAAAAATCCATCACAAACAGCCATTAAATAATACAAAGAAAATTAATATAACTAGAATACGCTGAAAACTTAAAATATTTCCGGACTCCATCAGTGGAATTCTTGGCACTATTACAAAACCGTCGCGACGTTTTGGCGTACATAGAGGGCGTTAATCAAAAAATTAATCACGTCTCGATGCGATTATCGAGTCTTGAATTCACATTATGAGATAAAATTACGGAGACTCGAAGTTTCTATGAAGGAACATATATATGTACATACTATATATACGAACGGTTGCAGAGAAGGAGTGGGTCGGGGGTTGAGAGAAGTGCTGGAAAGGGTAGGGGATAAGTGAGTGCACTCGTACGTGGAGCCATTATGGAAATCAGTACTTATCGGTCTGGAGAGGAGAAGGAAATTCAACGTTGTGTAACGATGCCACGTTTTCCTCGTGATCCACGTGGCGGGGAAAAAGGAGATAAGCTGTTTCGGCTCCGTCATTCGCTCCGATAATTTCTCTTCCTTATCAACGACGCGGCCGTCTTGCAGCGTATTCATCTTGCTGATTTACAAATCAAAAGTTATGCGAAAATTTTTTTTAATAGATATAAATAACATATGATATTAAAAAGCTTAAACTTAATTGCTTATTCTGATATACATATATCTTAAAATTTATTTTAAATAAAATTATAAGAATATTATTCAAAAGAAAGATTAATCATCTTTCAACTTTGCATCAAATTTATCAGTTAATTTGTTAGAACAATAATAATAACTTGACTAATAACAATAGTAATAATTATGTCATGCTTCATAATGTTTGATGTATTTGTAAAATTACAAATCTTACCATTTATGTAAGTCATGATTTCGATTAGTCCTTTCGCTTTCCTGGAACTTCTCGAATTGAACAATGTCGACGTAGGCTCAATCCAGAACGTCTTTTAGCATTTTGTTTGTACACTCAATAATAGCAAGAATAATTTATTACATTTACTTATTCAAATTAATTCTCAAAAAAGTTAGTCTTTAGTATTATAACTCTTATCACACACATGTCTCTCATTTCGTAAATCGTAATCCACGAATATTTTATATTTTTTCTTCTTTCTATCTACTATGACTTTGCGCAACTGCGACAATTTTTCTTTTCTAATAATGAATTGAATTTTGAATATTAGTTCCTTTAAGTTTTACTCGCAGTGTCCTGAAACATAAAAAAATGTACATAATTAATTTTTGCAAACACATTTGTCCAGTTATGTAATGTAAAAAATTTTTCAAATGTATTTGCAATTGTATTTAAGTTTGAAACTAATATGATATTTATTTCTTTGTTTATTTATAATTATACAGAATGTGACCTTTGTACAATGTATATGGTATTAAGATTAAAATTAATAATAATATATTCATTGAAGAGAAATGTAAATTTTAATAATTATAATTTACTATACTTGACTATAAATTGTTATTTATAATAAAGAGCAAGAGAAATTTACATAACGCATGGGTATAATAATATATATTATTAATATCAGATTATGATAATCATATGGCAGTCAACTAGATTACTAAATCAGGTCATTAATAAATTGTCAAATCAGCTGAGGATATTGTATAGAATTGAGTGACTCATTATAGCTCTTTGTTAATAATTAGCTAATTAATTTTCAAATAGAATCAATGTTGAATCAGTTTGCGATTCAAAATCAAAACACTATTGCATACGCATATTAAAAGTAAGGTTGTAAAGATTTAACATTTCACAAGATACTATAAAATATTTTGTGAGGTATTCATTTTGCGATTACTTTTTATATTTCTAAGCTTAAAAATATATTAATTATCATAAAGAAAATAAAAGATTAAAAAATATAAATAAAATACACATAACTGGAGGAAAGATGAATTATACAAATATAATCATATAAATGTTAATATTATCTTAAAAACTATGTTCTAAAAAATTTGTAATATTTAAAAATAACAATTAATTAAGATAAATTAAAATTTACAAATAAAATGAATAGTAACAATGAATTTAAAGTTACAAAAATTGAAAGCAATGAATTTAAAGGGTAATATTTTTCGCAATAATTAAAATTTATTTACAGATTCTAGTAGTTTAAATTTTCTACAACAGATGTCTATTGAACATCAAAAATTTAATTTGTGATATTATTTCAATAATTTAGCTGCGTTTGTAAAGTCCAGAAAAATTTCGGCGTATAGTGAATATGACTTCAAATATGATATATATGCAAGTATATATTATATAATATATGATTCACATTTTGAATAATTTAAAAAAAAAAGCAATTAAGATCTAGTTTCGACCGGCATTAGGCCTTTAATATATTATTAGTGAGTTCTGCCTAGTGTTTTTACCTAGTGCGTCGGTCCTATGAGATTTAAAAATGAATTTAAAGTTGAAAGCAATGGATTTAAAGTTACAAAAATTGAAAAAGTATGTTGTTTAGGAAATAAAAATGCAGAAATGCTCTATCAACTGATCCAGAATATGTTTTTGCATATTTATTTCATAAACAATATACTTTTTCAACTTTTGTAACTTTAAATCCATGGCTTTTAACTTTTGTACCTTTAAATTCATTGTTTTCAACTTTTTTTACTTTAAATCCAATTGTTACAATTCGACTTATTTCTAAATTTAATTTTAATTTATCTTAATTAATTCGTCATTAACTTTGTATTTTAAAACAACTTTATAATATCAATTATCATTATTTACTATTTTAAACTATTTCTTTACTTTTCCTGTACTTTTCTATTCTCTCTCTCTCTCTCTCTCTCTCTCTCTCTCTCTCTCTCTCTCTGCCTCATCTTTACAATTCATTCTTATATTCTTGCTTTCTCTCTGTCTTCTTTACCTTTATTTTTGTGTATATTGTACGTACTGGGATTAAACCCAACATGGGCTAAACATTTAATTAGACGAGAAAAGAGGAGAAGGAAAAAAATTAAAAAATCCAAGGAATCTTTTTCAAAATTTTCAAGCTAATTGAAATTAAAATTGATATGATAAAACTCTTAACACAAATTAATGAAAGATTAATAAAAACGAAATTTTATAATTTAATAATTTTAAATTATTTGTTTATTTAAATTTTTATAGAAGCAGTATTATTTCAGAATTTGTAAAAATTATCTTTAAATGCATATATTATATTATTATTTTCACGATGCAATTAATATGTTACAAAAGTACCTGTAATATTTTATCCAAATTATTTATAAATGTAAATAAATTCAGATAAATACAGATCAATATACTTTTAGACGTATTTAATATTTTGTAATAATCATATATTTTTATTTAAAAATGCGGAAGTTGTATCATGTTCACGGCCAATTACAAAAACTAATCTTAATTTAAGACCTTTTAATCTTATCATCCCATTGCTGCTTACGATATCAGTATAACGCAAATTCGTTGCAGCGTGGATTCTTAAGCGAGAAACACGTCAAGAAAAGAAAGTACAAGACTGGAATTTGATTACATCAAGAGACTATCCTTGAAAAGGTCAATTCTTTCTATAGAGTTACAACTGACTATTTTAGCGATAGCGGAATGCCGTTATCGTCTAGACAGTGCTGGTGAACAATTATTACTACTTGGCAAACTCAAATAGTCTCTGGTCGGCGGATACCAGTTGCCAACTTCAGTGGCAAACATAAACGCGACTACCGGCATAAGGCGAGGTCTTGGTTGGACAATGTACTGTCCCGCAGACTCGTTTAGCATCCCCAGTAACTATATTCAAAGCAACGAATAACGGTTACACTATGTAGCATCGTAGTTAACGATATGTTTGCTAGTTAATTCGGGCGAGAACGATACGATTCCAACGTGTACATGATAAGATTCTTGGAAGCTTGAACCTACGGGATTTAATCCTATCATTTGGCACAAGCAGTATCTATTAATTTAATAACATGGTAACTTAACTTTATTCAAACTAGCTCGATAATTCTATATCTTAATATAAGTAAAATATAAGAATACAGGGAATTAAGGATAAAACAGCTTAAGAATTTGTAAGCAAGGTCTTTCATTTTCAAAGCGGATTATTGGATGTAAAGAGTTTTTTGTTTGGATTAATTTCTTAGGAGGTTCTCGTCTCATTTTTGCGGATTAAGTTAATGAGATCGTGAGGAGCTTCATTTTCAGAGAGTAGCAGATATATACATTATAGATGCGAAGAGGAAAATCTAAAATTTTATAGTTTATTAAAGCAATTATTTCCTTTTTTTATATATTTCCTTATTTTATATATTTCCTTTGTTATATATATATATATATATATCTTTCACACTTTACTAATGATGTAATATTTTGTGTATATTTAATACGATTTCTGTTCTTTTCATTTTAACAACAATTTAGCTGGACGGTCCAGCAGCAGTCAGTAGTTGTTAGAATAGCGCAGGTGCATCTAAAAGAGAATGCACAGCGACAGGATGACAGGCACAGGAAGACGCGGCAGTGTGTGCAAGCATCGGAAAGCTATTCACGATGTGGTGCTTTCTTACGAGATTGACGGGAAGAAAAGGGACTGTGTATCTCGTAGAGCCACGCAACGGAAGAACTCCATTTCCGCCATATTTCTCGTACAATGCCGCAAAATTGACTAGCCAGAAAACGGCGTTTCGTGACTGATGCTGGCGAAGAGGACCCAAGAGGCCGCCATCCAATACCAGTTCCACTTCCAATCGATCGATCGAAAGATCGCCACTATATGCTCCCGGCGAGTGTGTATACAAATGCATTGTACGCTTGTAGCAGCCTTCAAGCGATTTATTGAAATTCCGTTTATCTCTCGGATGCTTCTCAAAAGCAATAATCTATCATTTTAATTCTTTTGAAATTTGATTTACTTATAAATATTACATAATATAACATAATATTACATAATATTAAGTAATTATGTAAGATTATAATTAAGAGTTAACAGACAAGAAGGGAAATATTTATTTATTCCTTCACGCACAAGACAGTGCAAAGATTAAGTAATACGGTTTGACGAAAAGTCACTTTTTTTCTTTTCGAAGTGTCGTAGTACACACCTCAAAAATTTTTTCACGCTGAACACCGTTGACAAATGCCATTGGCAACATTTACGTAGCACGTCAAAAGTTTTAGTGAAATGAGCCAAAAATGGCGTTTTCAGTATTTTTCAATATTTTCAATATTTTTTTTACAGCAAAAGAACTTTGTTTCTAAATCTATAGCATCTAAAAATACAATTCAAGATCTTTCAAATAAATCTGAGTTCATTATCATACGACTTATTTTGATCAAGTTATGGCTGTTTGGATTTTAGATTTTCTATATAATTGTGCAGTTAAATAAAAAATCACTTGTTTTCTTCAAAATACCATAGTACGTACCTCGAAGATTTTTCCACGCTCAACACGATACTGTTCGTCAAAATCGTAGTACATCAGAATTTTTAGTAAATTGGAATGTAATAGTAAATTGAGATGCGGTTTTTGGCCCATTCCACTCCAATTTACTTAAAATCCCGACGTGCTACGCAAATTCTGCTTGACGTCGTGTTCAGCGCAAAAAAGACTTCGGAATACATACTACGATACTTCGAAGAGAATTTGCGTACTGGAGAATATAATTAAAAGACTAAACAAAACGAATAAATGAATATATTCATTAAATACGTGTAAATTTATTTAATTAAGAAATTGAATAACAAGAAAGCTTGAAATACTATTAAAGAGATATTAATGAATCTATTTTATTAATAAAATTATGTACTTCTGAAATTTGATTTGCTTATAAATATTAAATAAACATGTAAAGTTATAATTAAGAGTTAACAAACGAGAGAGAAATATTTATTTATCCCAGACAGTTGCAAAAATTTAATAATTAAAAAGCTAAGCAAATAAATTAATAAATATATTTATCAAACAATGCAAAATTATTTAATTAAAAAATTAATGACGACAAAGAATTTGCCTGAAATGGTATTAAAAGTATTAACGTACCAATTTAATTAATAAAATTATGTAACTTTTTATAATAGTCATTTATAATAGTCATTATCTCTTACATTTGTAAAT